CCCGGCCCCCCGCCTCCCAGCCTGGCTGTCCGTCCCCCCCCAGCACTGGCCGCTCCCCGCTTTCCCGCAGAAATCAGCACTGCAGGGGGCTGGGGCACCGGTGCGGGAGGATGTGGAGCCGTGGGTGCTGGCATGCAGATTCTAAAACATGCGTATAAAGAGGCAAGCATACGCATCTACATATTTGTATTCATGCATAGACATATATACGTGTACAGACATACCTACATGTAAATGTATATGTGCATACATGTATTTGTATATATACATTTACAATGAAAACACGTATTTGAGAGCTGTTCCCATCATGCTTTTTGTGTGAGGAAAAGAATGTAATAGACCTGCGGCCCATGCAAAGTTCGTTTGCTGCCCCGAAAACACCCCCAGAAGTTGGGGCTGCCCGGTAACCGGCAGTGGAGTAACAGAAATTCCTCTTCCCCCTGCGCTGCCGGCCTCGGCTGCACTGCTCCCTCCTCGCCCCTTCCAGCAGTTCTCTGGTTTCTCCAGCTGCTCCTCTCGGAGGAGACCCCATCCGCCCTTCACCCCCTGGCTCCTCTCCCACCCTCTGCCCCATCAGCTTCATGGGCTGCCGGCATCAGTCCTCACATTTTCCAGCTTCTCCCCCACCTATGTCCCCGAGTCTTTAACCACCTCCGACCTTCTCCTAAACCCAGCTGGGCTCTGTGTCTGCCCGAGAGTTCCAGGGCTTTCCAGGCTCTCAGGGGTGGCTGGGAGCCAGCTCCGGCTCACCGGCTTATCGCAGGTTTGTCTCTGCTCTGCTGAGCCGCGGGCTTTTTGCCAGAGCTGCAGCCTCAAAGCAAATCTGTTTTTTCAACACTTTCCTTAAAAATAAACACAGAATTGCGCTGTTTGTTCCATTTATTTGTTGTTGTTCTTTTAACAGCGCGTCGGATTGTGAGAGAAGTGCTCATGCACTTCAGTGCTGGGAAATGGCTCCGCTCCACCACACTGTCGCCCACTCTGTCACTGGGACCCTGCAGCCGTCCGTGGCAGATCGCTGGGTGTGAACGCGGAGCGCAGCAGCCAGGCGCGTGACACGCGTCCCTCCGCACCGCGGGCCACGCCGCAGGCGGCAGCCGACCCGCACGTCCTGCGCTGATGCGAGCTGAGCCAACACCTCGCGAGACGTGATATCACTGCAACAACACCGTACCACAGCCAGGCTCTGGTGGCCTTGCACGGGATCTGTCAAGCACAGACCTACCCAGATTTTTCTAAGGAGATGAACAGCAGGACCTATCAATGATCGATTCCTTGCCAACTGTTTTGCAGCACAAGACAGGAGTTCATTCATCACCACATCCTAGGGAAAATATCCTGCTTTTGATCCGGACCTCAGAGATGGACCTTTCTGTAAGTTTACACCCAGGAATCACTGTGCTCCTTTGCAGTGTGATGCGGCAGCGATATAAGGTATCACCCGGCAGGAGCACAGGAGAGGTAAGGACTCTGCTCAGCCGCCGCAGAGAAGCCCTGTGGGGTTAGGAACTGAGAACGTCCTTCTCCCAGTGGACTTGATCAGGATGTTGCACTCCTTCAACCAGCCCAAAGCCTTCTGCATTCCAGGAGCAGCAGCATGGGTCAGGAGACTTGAACACTTTAGTGGAAAGCAGTATTTTTAACGGTGCTGTGCCACTAGCCCTGGCTCACAGACTCAGGCATCCCTGTGCCGCTAACAGTCTTTCCTCTTGCCATCCTAAACCCTTCTCAGTGTCCCACACAGCAAAGAAAGCTGGAAGACTGAGATTTTTTTTCCCCCAATTTGGCAATTTCTGTTTTTCCCAAGATTAAAGAAATCACCATGTCTGACACCTGCACAGCTAAGTGAGAATGTGCTCTCAGTGACAACCACTTTCCCAGTCGTGACACCAACCAACATCACACAAATATTAAACACAGGCCAGACACTGAGGGCCAGATACCTTTGCTGCTCTGAGGCAGTGCAGGGACAGCATCCAGCTGAGGCCTTTGCGCAAAAGGAATTTACCTCCACAGCAACGATAATTGCTTTTCAATGGAAATTGTAGGCGACCCTGCTTCGGCAGGAGGGTTGGACTAGATGACCCACAGAGGTCCCTTCCAACCCCTACCATTCTGTGATTCTGTGATTCTGTGATTCTGTGATTCTGTGATTCTGTGACTTATGTAATTATAAGACTTTTACATCTGGTCTTGTTTACGCCCAGTGCAAATCAGGAAGAAAAAAATTCATCACATGTGGCAGTGTGTACTTAATCACTTACAATCCTGGACTAGCTATTTCCTTGCTTTACGCTATTTTCTTTTTCTTTTCTTAAATAAACCTGCCATAAGAATGAAAGCAAGGAAAATACAAAACAGGGCTGAAGTGGCTTTTAGGAGCTCACTCTGACCTGAACGACTTTCTTAAGGGTTAGATTTCCTGTCTTAACAAAAGCCAGGAAATACAAAATTAACCCCTTCCTCCCAAACAATCCGTGTTTGCACTCGGGCCACAATGTCATTGTGAGGGTAATAATAGAAAGAAGAGCTTGAAGTGTGGGGGTGGGAGGTGATGCTTTGATTCGAGCAGATGGGACCCATGGCTGGCCCGCATTCGGCCCCCTTCAGCCCCTGGGCTTTAACAGTTCCCACGTTGCTCTGCCAAAATATGTACAAATCCATAACGACATGAAAGCCCCAGGAGTG